TAAGATGCAATTGCAACGTTAAATAACGCTGAAATCCGAATAATAAAATAAATTTAAATATTTAAAATTTTTGTACTGTTTTAAAAAATATTTATAGTGATATTTTCTAAACTTTCTATTGCAAAATTTACTCTAGACTTAAAACAGTAATAATACAGTCCAACCTCCAAATAACGGCCACTCCTAACAACGTCTATTTTTTTTATGTTCTCGACAGTTGCCATTGTTCAAACATTTGACTTTAATCGTGAAATTAAACAAATTACACTTTCAAGTTTAATTCTTTAATATTAAATTTATTATCATATTTATTTTAATTTACATTAATTACATTTCGATTAAATTTATATTTATTTAGAATTTCTGAAAATTGCACCTTGCTTATCTGATGCAGTGAAGAACACTCATCGGGTGTGTATGAAAGATTTGCCAAATATTATAAATCAATTTATGGGAGATGATGTGGAATCTCGAATTCCTGCTGGTTGTTGGTCAGTAAATTCTCTTTGTATTCCATCAAATTAAGAAATAATCAAAGTTATTTATTAATGCAATTTCTGTTTGTAGTTACTTCATGCAGTTCTATGATTGTTTTTACGAGCAAGTGGATAAATCCTGCGGAAGGGATGCTTTCCCTACAGTACGGAAGGCTTCGGATATGATGGGAATGGTCATGACACACAATTTCTGTTCCTCTTATGATCCAACGAGCGATGAATGTACAGAACTCTTGAGCAGAAATGTCACATCTCCATCACCAAAATATTCTTATCTGGCCAGATTTACCATCGCCATGTTGAAGCATCGCAATTAAATAATGTTAATTTTTACTCTTGTATTTTTGGGGGTTTTTGTAGATTACATTTAAAGATTAATTTTGTTTAGAAATTTCTGGTTTGTATTTGAAATATTCCAATAAATATTGAGATTATGAATTTAAATTTATTTCAGCTTAAGTTGTTGATAAAAATATATTTATTTCAGTCAACACAAGTATACTTTAAGCATGGCCTTGGTTTTTACATTTTATTTTGCAATAGAACAGTTCATCGACTATTCTTCAGGCTGTAAAATCAAGGTTAAACTTAATATTCTCGGGAAAATCATTAATTTTTTTCAGAAGAGAGTTCGTCTACAATTGCACGTAGTTATTTTTTATACCTTTCGACTATTCCATCTTTCTGTCTTCTCCCCAAATTATGTAATGGACATCCTCGATCAACAACTCTCTTATCCGTACTTTAAAATAATACACAGTACGGGGAAACATTACGTTATTTTATAATAAAAAAAAATATTCCGTTTATTTTACTTCATAAATAAATAATTATAAAAATATTCACTGATGTTATTACTTTCCCTGATGTTATAAATAACAGAGGGAAAGTATGGAGATCGTTCAAGAAATTACCTCTCCTCCATATTTTTAAATTTTTTGTACTCTGGGAACCTTGAAACGTCGAGAAATGCAGGAAAATTAGGGGATAATTCCCGTATGTATGGATGTTAGTGCAAGGCCATTTTTGGACTGTTATCCGCCTACGTGCTACAGACATTTGGCCGCACCTATCAATGCTGATCGCGAGTAAATTCATAATCTACCCCAATTCATGAAATCCTACTGGTATTTTTTAGGATAGTTTCATATAGTTTACAATGAAAATTAAGTATAAACGTAAAGTCTTGTATCTATGTTATTAAATGCAACTATTCACAGTGAGTTACGTAAGTTTAACCTTAAACTTAATCATAAGATGTTAACATAAATACAGCTTGGAGTTTGCAAACTTTTTACGTAATTTAAAACAAGAAATAATCGCAGTGGTTATGGAATTCCCACTGATGAATTTTTCTCTAGTTCAACGGATGAATCCCTCATCACCTGATCGCAATTTTCTGATGCAAAACACTTAGCATGCTTCAGCGTTACTTATATCCATTAGCTGCACAGCTAACCTAACTTTATATCATCAATTGTCATGCAAACATCAATCTGTTTCGTCGCCGACCGCTAGATTAAAATAATAATAAATTGTATTTGAATTTTATATTTTAAAATGCACTATCTACCGTTTTAATAATTTGGCCGCCTGCGTGCACGCACGCACTGCACACCTATCAGAACCGGCCCTATGTTAGTGTGTGTATGTGAGGAGGGCACGATTTTGTTCACCCACTTTCAAGCTTAATAACTCCTGTACCTTTTGACGAAAATTTCTGAAATTTTTCAGGGAGGGTTGTACATAAGGGGCATTGGTGCTATTAAAGTTTGGCGGTAAAAGGTAAACGAAGTGGCGAGATATAGAAGGATCACGTGTCATATCTCAAGCATGGACGGACTTAATGGAGATTTTACTCGTTATTAGCATTTACACTTTTTTTTATATTATAACTCATTTTTACCGTAAGATTTAGCATTTTGTCATTTTATAGTGACTAATAATATAAAAAGTATTTATATATTATATTATTAAAGAGTTATTAAACTTCAAAGCGGGTGAACAAAATCATGTTTCCCGCACACACGAACATTAACATCCATACATGTAAAAAAACACCCCCAATTTGTTCGCATTTTTCGACTTTTCAAAGTCCCCTGAATCCAAAAATGTAAAAATCTTGGGGATCATTTTTTTTTTACCAATTGCCATATTTTCCCTGTTAGGCCTATATGTCTTCATATAAAAGATTTAACTTACGTAATTACTTGTAAGGTACTGTACATGTTCTATGAGATTAACATCTGAGTTTATGTACACGTACAGTACATTATATTCAGTTATAAATCAGTTATTTTATAACTTACGTGTTTAATAACAATTATAAGATGCAATTGCAACGTTAAATAACGCTGAAATCCGAATAATAAAATAAATTTAAATATTTAAAATTTTTGTACTGTTTTAAAAAATATTTATAGTGATATTTTCTAAACTTTCTATTGCAAAATTTACTCTAGACTTAAAACAGTAATAATACAGTCCAACCTCCAAATAACGGCCACTCCTAACAACGTCTATTTTTTTTATGTTCTCGACAGTTGCCATTGTTCAAACATTTGACTTTAATCGTGAAATTAAACAAATTACACTTTCAAGTTTAATTCTTTAATATTAAATTTATTATCATATTTATTTTAATTTACATTAATTACATTTCGATTAAATTTATATTTATTTAGAATTTCTGAAAATTGCACCTTGCTTATCTGATGCAGTGAAGAACACTCATCGGGTGTGTATGAAAGATTTGCCAAATATTATAAATCAATTTATGGGAGATGATGTGGAATCTCGAATTCCTGCTGGTTGTTGGTCAGTAAATTCTCTTTGTATTCCATCAAATTAAGAAATAATCAAAGTTATTTATTAATGCAATTTCTGTTTGTAGTTACTTCATGCAGTTCTATGATTGTTTTTACGAGCAAGTGGATAAATCCTGCGGAAGGGATGCTTTCCCTACAGTACGGAAGGCTTCGGATATGATGGGAATGGTCATGACACACAATTTCTGTTCCTCTTATGATCCAACGAGCGATGAATGTACAGAACTCTTGAGCAGAAATGTCACATCTCCATCACCAAAATATTCTTATCTGGCCAGATTTGCCATCGCCATGTTGAAGCATCGCAATTAAATAATGTTAATTTTTACTCTTGTATTTTTGGGGTTTTTTGTAGATTGCATTTAAAGATTAATTTTGTTTAGAAATTTCTGGTTTGTATTTGAAATATTCCAATAAATATTGAGATTATGAATTTAAAATTATTTCAGCTTAAGTCAGTGGTTCCCAAAGTGTGATACGCTGCTTCCTCACAGGGGCGCCACGAAATATTATAAAATTTTCATAATTTTACTTCCACTTTCAATTCAATGTGATAAGATGCGACATCCAGCAGACCTGGTGCAAATCATTAATTCAGTAAAAAAGGTGTCACGTAGATTCGCAAAATGTAAAAAGCCTCATATCACCGCAGCTCATTCTACCGGCTGCTGTAGATATGGTAAACATTATGATCGGTGAGTCGGCTGGGAAGCAGTTTTCAAAAGTGTCTTTGTCCAACAACATCATCAGTCGCAGAATACAGCACATAACGAAGGACCTTCAATGTTCAGTTAATTGAAAAAATAAAAGGGAAGGAATTTGGGTTGCAGCTGGATGAGGACACAGATAACAATAATGATGCTCACTTGATTTGCTATGTACAGTTTATCTGTACTAATATTATAAAGAGGTAAAGTTTGTAAGTTTGGATGTAGAAGGTAATCTCCGAAACTACTCATCCGATTTCAAAAATTCTTTCACCAATATTTAGAATGGACCTTCAGGGTGGACATAGGCTGTATATTCCTTTAAACATTCATATAAATTAAAAGATATCATCTAGGTAAGCGTTATATTTTTGTTGTCAGCAGGTGGAGAGGGGCAAGACGCGTACGTATACGAGATAGGTAACCGCGCGGCGATGTCGCGTGGTCGGCGAGATATGCAGTGCACGTGTCCGAAGTTGTATAACTATAAAGGTTATCTTAAGTAAGAGTTTATCACACCAAATTACCAATCTAACACGTTTTAAAAATTCTTTATTTCTGTACTATGCACAATTTAAATAATTTTTAAATGTATTAGATTGGGCACACAGTGTGATAAAATCTTACGTAAGATCCCCTTAAATTAATAAATATAAATCAAATACTATAATATAATATAGTAGAAATGTTAGAGGTATGAAATAATCTAATAATCTTAATATTTGCTGTTNTATTTATAGTGATATTTTCTAAACTTTCTATTGCAAAATTTACTCTAGACTTAAAACAGTAATAATACAGTCCAACCTCCAAATAACGGCCACTCCTAACAACGTCTATTTTTTATGTTCTCGACAGTTGCCATTGTTCAAACATTTGACTTTAATCGTGAAATTAAACAAATTACACTTTCAAGTTTAATTCTTTAATATTAAATTTATTATCATATTTATTTTAATTTACATTAATTACATTTCGATTAAATTTATATTTATTTAGAATTTCTGAAAATTGCACCTTGCTTATCTGATGCAGTGAAGAACACTCATCGGGTGTGTATGAAAGATTTGCCAAATATTATAAATCAATTTATGGGAGATGATGTGGAATCTCGAATTCCTGCTGGTTGTTGGTCAGTAAATTCTCTTTGTATTCCATCAAATTAAGAAATAATCAAAGTTATTTATTAATGCAATTTCTGTTTGTAGTTACTTCATGCAGTTCTATGATTGTTTTTACGAGCAAGTGGATAAATCCTGCGGAAGGGATGCTTTCCCTACAGTACGGAAGGCTTCGGATATGATGGGAATGGTCATGACACACAATTTCTGTTCCTCTTATGATCCAACGAGCGATGAATGTACAGAACTCTTGAGCAGAAATGTCACATCTCCATCACCAAAATATTCTTATCTGGCCAGATTTACCATCGCCATGTTGAAGCATCGCAATTAAATAATGTTAATTTTTACTCTTGTATTTTTGGGGGTTTTTGTAGATTACATTTAAAGATTAATTTTGTTTAGAAATTTCTGGTTTGTATTTGAAATATTCCAATAAATATTGAGATTATGAATTTAAATTTATTTCAGCTTAAGTTGTTGATAAAAATATATTTATTTCAGTCAACACAAGTATACTTTAAGCATGGCCTTGGTTTTTACATTTTATTTTGCAATAGAACAGTTCATCGACTATTCTTCAGGCTATAAAATCAAGGTTAAACTTAATATTCTCGGGAAAATCATTAATTTTTTTCAGAAGAGAGTTCGTCTACAATTGCACGTAGTTATTTTTTATATCTTTCGACTATTCCATCTTTCTGTCTCCTCCCCAAATTATGTAATGGACATCCTCGATCAACAACTCTCTTATCCGTACTTTAAAATAATACACAGTACGGGGAAACATTACGTTATTTTATAAACTATGTGTGCATACAGTTACGTACAAAACAGTGACAAACAGTATGCATCTCCATACAACACTTCAAAAAAAAAATAAATAAATCATTTTGTTACCAAGAATTGAGTTTAGTTTATTTCTTTACTGCAATGCGACACGTGGGCAATCTTTCTTCCAGAAGGACTTTCTACTGGAAATTATCCCCTATTTAGTGAAGAAAACCACCTGGCCAGCCCGTTGGCGAGGAGCAAACCCACGATCTATGTTCAGTGGTCCAATCCACTCTGCCACTGGTGGACGTAAGGTTGAGGGCCTGGCATTATGTAACGTGTTTTTAAATATTACCACCTCTTCTCATAAACTATTAATTATTTCATTAATTATTTATTCTAATCATTTTATGTTTTCATTATTCAAAATATAGAGAGTGATTATCATTTAGAAGTAGGTGTTCAGAGCTCTCTGTAGAAAGAAATAGCTGTTGTTTCCTTAATTTGCATGTTAAGTACTTGTACTGTAGATTTTCTAACGAATTTCGGAAATTAAAAAACAAATCGTTTAAGCAGACACGTGAAGATGCACCATCTTAAGAGAAAGGTGATCATGATAAACTGTTCACCTGAAAAGTCACAAAACTACGAAAAACGTTTTGTGACTCTTTATCCCCGAAATTGGTTAGAAAACGTAAACATATGCACACTAAGAAGACGGCAGCGACAAATTTCGCCCTAGCGGTTAAATTTTAAAATAACGTTTTTCATCCGAAAATCGAAAAGGTATACCAAATTTAGTTCAGATATTCTCAGTAGTTTTTTTATACAGAACATCTATCACTACTTCTTTACTATGATCACCCTGTATTTTAATAAAAGAGGGATAAAATCTAAAATCGTTGTATATAAACCAATATTAACTTCGTAAACTCATTGACTGACAAAGTGTTCCAGTTGAAGCAAACTTCTTAAAAAAAAGGAGGTAGGAAGTCGAAAAAAGTGTTCAATATAGGCCTATTATTAAAGACATCCTGAACATTGAATATCGAAAAAAATCCAGTAACGAGAGTTGCGTAACTTTCCCCGCTGTTGTGAGTTTTTATTTTAAAAAACTTTTATATTATTAAGCAAAATAAATAAAATTGTATGAGATGCCATCCGTCAGATTTTGTTATAAAATCTTTCTATATTTTTAATTACTACAAAATGACAAAACGCTTAATTTTGACGGTAGGGATAAGTTTTATGAGAAAGTGTAAATGTTAATAACAAATAAAATCTTCATTAAGTCCTAACCCTCTCGAGATTTTTTAAAATATATTTAATTATAATATTTACAGCGAGAGATGGATGGAGTAAATTTTAATCGGACAGTAATTTTCAAATTGCAGACCTGTACAGTACAATACATTCCTACTGTCGTCCGTCCGACTGTCCGTTCTTCTCGAGACCGGATATGAAAAGCTTACCGCAACTAAAAAATCATGTGACTTCCGTAGACCAAAAGTCACGTGATTTTTCAAACTGATATATGATTCAAAATTGCACCTAGGCATTGCTTTTTATTGCTTTTTTTAACCACAAGTTGATTGCTGTTTAGTTCATTTTGTTGTTTATAACTAAATTTATTTTAGAAATCACGATTATTTTGTATTCGATTATCAAGAAATAAAGGTTTACTTTAATCGTAATTTGTGTTAATTATGATAGTGTATGTTTAGTCTTTATAAAGGAACACGATTTCCAAATATGGCCTAATGTACACTTTCTCGAAAACGTTTAATTTTTTCACAACTCTAATGCAGCAATCAGATGTATTTGGTCCTATTATGGCCTTCTTAACTAGGTCATAGTAGGACCATGTACAGTGGCGTAGCGTGGGTGTCAGCCGCCCGGGACGGAGGAAAATTTTGCCTCACCCTTATTTAGATATCTCAATTTAAAAGATTAAAATTCAGTTTCGTCACAGAATAAGTAATGAAAAATTCTGTGCTTATTTCAATCGGTCCGAATCCTAGGTGCGACAAAAATATGAAATGAAATGGTTCAAATTTTTACAAGATATTATTATTATTTATTCTGAAATTTTGCCGACCCCTAAAATTGCCTCCCGGGCGGGGCGCCCCTGCCGCCCCCACTACGCTACGCCACTGACCATGTATCTTATATTCAATACTATTCTGTACAGGACACTTTCTATATATAAACATGGAGTAAAAACTAGGAAAATGGAGGTTTGTCTATTTAGATTTATTAGGTTTGCTTTAATGTTCATATAGCGTGATTGTTCGATGATTTATCTAACTTTCGATTTCCTCCTTAAGTATGTACAGTACATTCGAATCTCTAATAACGGCCACCTGTAAACAACGACTATTTCTTATGTTTCCTTCAGTGGCCGTGGTTCAGAGGTTTGGCTATAATAAGCATTTGCTTATTAAAACAAAATGGCTGACAATAACATTCTAATCCAACTCTGTAAAAGTGATGAAGTTTTAATTGTATCGTTTAATAAATTCGCTTACTAAACTTCATTAACCATGGCTAAATTCAAATTTCCATTAGCAGATTCACTCATCGATTTTAATTTAACTTGATTGTTGTAAATTATAAATAAATTCTGTAAGCAGCATGGACGCCACAAGAAAGTTTTCGGGTGAGCAAAGCTTAAAGATAAACAATTATACCAATATAAGCCAATTTCTTTATTTAATTGTTTTATTCTTGGGAGGTTTTTGACGAGTATATTACAGTACAGTGTATAGAATACAGTATTGCATCAATAAATATCTCAATTTTAGAAAAAATTAAGCCAAGCTTCTCCTTAGAGTCAAGAATCTTAAAACAAAAATTGACCTACTTTGGACATGTGATGCGTAAAGAAGTTTCCCTAGAGAAGACTATTATGCTGGGAAAAGTGGAAGGTAGAAGGAAGAGGGGAAGGCAACGGATAAGATGGATAGAAGAAATAGAAAAAGTCACAGAAATGAAGCTGGAGGAGCTACGAGAGACAACAAGGGAAAGATCAAGATGGAGAAGACTTGTCCATGAAGTCACCAGGAGTCGACGACGACTTGATGGAATTTAACAACAAATTGCATCAATACAAAAAGACATACAAAACTTATCATGGTCGAGGGTGTAAGATTACATATCTAAATCACATCTAACCTACAATTATAATTTGGACCAGTAGTGGCCGAGTGGATAAAACTACTACTGAATACTGAAACAGATATAAATATAATGTCAATTCTAAATAATATTTAGATCTTTTCCATTAAATTAATTACGTGCTTCTAATTTAATACACTTGTTTTTCCTGTTACGATTTTCTTGGTAAAATAAACATATGATGATGCCTTTACATAAAATTATTAATATAATATTAAAAATCAAATAAATTAATCTCATATTTATAAAATTCTTTCTTTATTATACAACATATGATATCAGGCATAAATATTATAAATTCATTCTGTGAATGACCCCCGTGATGGTTTATCACGAACCTGATATTTCCTAACGTTGAGATCGATACTCCCTTTTCGGAGGAGGTGTCATTCAAGATGACGAGGTGTTAACAGCGTACGAACAGAGTAGTGGCGTTGGACACAGGAGCATGAACTGCGTTTATAATTAACACCTGTTTATTAATATACAAAAGACATCTTACAAAAATCAGGAGATCGCCTTTGGTCCTTAAAACTACCCCAACGCGCAGTGTCCGGACGGAATGCGATGTTTGCGATGAGTTTTTCCAGTTGGTCGGTCTTCCTCGGCGGATCGGTGTTCTAACGGACTGTCCTGATGGAGAATGCTGTGAACACAGTTCATTGTTTCTCGTATTTAGGATAAAAGTTTCTCTGTCCCAGCCGGAGGGCTACTGAACTTAGGAAATCCTCTTATCTCTCTCTGGGACGATCTCCGCTGGCCTGGTGAAGCGGAAAAGATTTGGTTATCTTTGTGAGAGAAAAACACCAAAGAAAAGATCTCTTTGTCCTTGAATTCGAGCCTCTTAAAGGTTTTGCATCCCTGATCACAAGCTCTGGTTGGTCGTGATCTCCATTCTCTACCCCTCCGATTGGTCCCTACTTATTACCAGGGCCAGTCGAGACAGAATTCGGAGATCGGACATTTGCCTAATTGTTTATTGAATTTTGTCGCAAATCTGCCCGTAATTCACAGTCAAGCGTTTTTACCCCGGTTGTAAATATCCCTAGCTGCACCCGCGTGACAATTGGTTTTGTTATACATTCTATTTTCCTGTTTTCGTAGGAGAATTTGGTAGTGTTCCCGATCTGTTCTCTTCTGATATTTTATTTATCAGAAGCATTTTAAAAGAATAAACTTTTCTTTTAAAACAGATTTTGGTCGCGATTTCGGCCTCTGTTCGAGACCTCACAATTCGCACGGAATGAAGAATCGTTTTAATAATTCACGCATTAAATATTTTAAAATGACCATTAGTAATTTCGAATTTTATAAGTATACTTAGAACATATGACAATAAAATGGTGACTCAATCCTCCCCTCTCCTGATACCTCATTCTCTTTGCTCACATGTTCAAAAGTTTCGTGACGTATCGTCGATTTTTGGTATCGTCATTTCAAATTTCTATAGGCCTATATATAGGCCTATATATATTTATATGATACACCTTAAAATTGTCATGAT